TGGCGCCTTGCTTCCAACTCGTGTACCATGGTGACTGGTGCGCTCTGGAATTTGACTCCACATTGGGTTATCCTGGCGAGGGACCGCGATGGTCCATTATTTCTGCGAACATCGACTCCTTTGCCACCAATGCCAGCTGCTTACAATGGAATGCAGATGCTTTCATGCTGCAGGAAGCCAGGGTGGCTGATTCCAACATGACCGAGTCGCAGAGGAAAGCTGCTCTTTGCAATTTTGGCCTTTTCTGCTCTCAGCCTTTGCACAAACTGCGCGCTAGTAATGGCACTTTCAGGATTCCTTCTGGCGGTGTTGCCACTTGCGCTCACAAAGAACTCACGCAGATTTTTGAGGACAAAATGGATGTTTCTGGAGCTTGGTCTATCCTTCGTGCCACTTGCCGGGTCACAGCTACTTGGCACCAGGTATCTGCAAGCGTTAAGTTGTTGGCCTTCAACTTCTATGCCGTTGCCAATGCTGCGTCTGAACGACCTAAATTTGAGCGGAACAATGAGATGCTGGATCAAATCTTTATGGTCGCATCCCAATTTGCTGATATCCCTATTGTCATTGCAGGCGACTTTCAAATGGAGCCGGGTATGTACCCTTCTGTGCAACTCGCCCTGGACCACTGGGGATGGGCGGACCCCCTGCTCCAGACCGATGATACTGGAGAGGTTATTCGGCCTTGCATCTTTTTTCAGCACGCGGCTTCTGTTGATGAAGGGCAATCCTCTATTGACGGTATTCTCATGAACCGCACTGCGCTCGCAGCCTTGATTCGTATAGAGGTTTTGGACCACAGAGACCGCCAACATCGACCTGTCCAAGCAACCTTTGCCTGGGATCGTATTGCTCAGGTTGGTACCATCATGCAACGGTCTGCTGCCCTGGATCTCACACAGGTCACGACCTGTAATGTGGCTGACCCTGCCTGTCCAGTGAACACCTTAGCTGAACAGATGTGGCGACACCATGAGCAAGATTTTTCCAACGAGTCCGACCCCTGCAAAAGATGGTCGATCTTTAATCACTTTGCCACGCATGTGCTGCTGGTGAACGGGGCTACTTGGGAGAAAGGTCCGCGAGTGCGGGGTCGCCTTCCCAAGTTCTGCAAAACCACCATGGCTACTTCGCAGGAGGCTAATGGCAGTGTGGCCTCGCCACGGCTTCAGTTGTTGCAGGCATGCCTCCGATCCCTAAGAGAGCTTCAAGTTCGTCTTGGACGACCGTGCACTGGCACTTCGGACTATCATACGTTACTCAACACCCAACGACGGCTGCTCCGCAGATTGAAAGAAGCACAAGTCGTTCCCGGGGCTGTGAAAACACTCTTCCTGCAGGATTTGCACCATGTGGCGGAGCTCGTTTTGGCAGCCATCAACCAGGAGCTGCAGCAATTGAAACTTGCAGCCATTCGCAAGTGGAGACAAGCAATGAAGAATGCTACCACCTCCTTGACGATAGGGAAAGTTGTCTACCAGTACCTCAAGAGGAAAGGCCGCGTGGTGCCGCAAAATCTCATTGAGGATGACTCTGGGAATATTGTCTTTGATCCGCAGACTGCAATGGATGTGATTGCTAACAAGTGGGATGCTGTTTTCTCAGTGAATGTGAGTCACCAGCATGAAATGCAGATCCTGAAACAAGTTTGGCCCTATATTCATGACAAAGCTCGCCCTGTTGCCCTACCGCCCATCACAGCCCGGCAACTTTGGGAACAGGCCTTGCGCCGGAAACCTGAAGCGGCAGCTGGTCTCGATGGGTGGCGTACGCGTGAAGTTCAAGCTCTTCCACCAGCTGCCTTTCAACCTGTTGCCGATCTCTTCAATGATATTGAAGCAGGATACTCTGAGTTCCCGGTGATCCTTACTCAGGTGCGAGTGATCATTTTGAACAAGGATGGGAGTGACGCTCCGCTGGCAAAAAGGCTTATTGCCTTGCAGTCCATTTTCACTCTTCTATACACCGGCCTGCGTTTCCTCCAGTTACAAAGTTGGCAACAGCAGATTATGCCTTCACAGCTGAAAGGAGGTATCAAGATGCGCCAAATGTCGGAGGTCCACATGACGCTGCAGCTTGAGATCGATCATGCGCACAGCTTTCAAGGCCACTTTGCAGCCTTGAAGCTCGACAAGTCGAAATGCTTTGATCGTTTGATGCCTAAGCTTTGTGCTGCAATTATGTTGGCATTGGGCCTTCCAACGGGCTTCGTGCGAGCTTTCCTATGCCTCTATTTGAGGATGACGCGTTTCCTTTCCTTCAAACAATGGACCAGAGCTGCTCCGATCTCCACGCCAAACGGCGTCGTGCAGGGTTGTTCGCTCAGTCTTCTTTGTATCAATCTCCATATGGCCATTTGGGCTTGGCTGATGGAGCATATTGAGGGAGTGGATTTCCGTGCCTTCATTGATGACACATACTTGTGGTCGCGGCAACCTACGATTGAGGGTCTTGTCTCCGCTGTCAAAGCCACTGAATTGTGGGATTCTCTTTGTGGCCAATTCCTGAATGCAAGCAAATGTGAGGTCTTTGCCACCACCCCTGACCTCCGACGTGCCCTAAAAGCTGCGTTTCCGGAAATGCGACTTGTTGAGGTGGTGAACATCTTGGGAGCCTTTGTGCAAACAACCAAGAAGAATGTTGGTTCCTTTCCTGCTAGCAAGATACAGGCTGCTCTCAGAGATTGTGAGGTTATTCGCACCTTGCCTTGTGATGGGTATAAGCGAGCTCAGATCTTGGCCACCAAGGTGCTGCCGCAGATTGCATTTGCGCCGCATTTGAACTTTATCCCCAAGCGGGCCTTGGCCCGCCTTCAAAGTGCTGTAGCGGACTCCTTGTGGCAAGACAGACCTAAATGGCGGTCGAAGCATCTCCTTCTTTGCATTGTGTACAAGGCCCACAAGTTGGATCCATTCCTCTGTCGTGCGGTCACAACAATTGCTGAATCGGTTCGCTTCTTGCAATATTCCGTGTATGCACGGCAGCAATGGGCGCAGCTTTTTGAACAAGACCAACTTACTGCGCAAGCATGGATGACACAATTCAGTCAGGCCTGCCAGATCCTGGATATTGAGTGGGTCCACACCTTTGAATTTTCGGTTTTTGGGTCTGCGCCTGTCAACTTTCTGGGCTTCTCGGTCCCTGACCTGAAATGTTTGCTGAAGAGTTTGGCTGCCAACAAATGCTACCATACTGCCTGCCTCATGCCAAGGAAAGACATCAGTACGGCTGTTGGCTTCCTTGACACCACGATGACGCTTTCAGCAAAGAAGAGGTTAGCAGCTATTCCTCATGATGGTTTTTCCTTCCTATTCTTTTGGGAAAGTGCGGTGACAGGTTGCACTTTGACAGCTGACAGGCTTGCTGCAGCCGGGCTTGCTGACCAAGCCAATTGCCGCTTTTGTTCTGCTCCCAAGGAATCCGTGAGCCATTTCGTATACGAGTGTGACTCCTTGCCCGAAACGGTCCGGCAACCTTCGACCAACTTCTTCTTTGGCCCTAACTTCAGCACACTGGGCATTGTTGAGATTCCTTTGGACACTATACGCGATAAACTGCAAGTGTCCAGCATTTCGGAGGTTCCTGTGTCTCAATGGACGGCAGTGCAGGAACAGGTTCAACATGTGTGGACGGATGGCTCCGTGCAACTGACAACCTATCCATGGCTGACCATTGCATCCTTTGCGGTCATTGCGGCTGATGAATCTATTATAGCTGTTGGTCGGGTCCGCCATTGGCGCCTGTCCAGTTATTCAGCTGAGCTTTGGGCCATTGTGGTCGCCTTTGCCAGAGCAGAACAGCCGTTGGTAATCCACACGGATTCCCTTACCATCGTCAAGCAGTTCCTGGTGTTGCTTCAAACTGAAACAGTTCAGGTCGAATGGACCCATGCCAATTGGTGGAGCTTCATTTTGGATCAGCTTCTTCACCGGAAAGAGCTCCATTGCAATTGCTTTGGTGCCCTGCTCATTTGTTGGAACACGTTCCTAGCCAGGCACTCACGGACGAGTTGGCAACTAAAGCTGGGTCTACTCGTCAGGACATCATTCTTAATAGGCTGGCTGACAACTGTGCCAAGCAGCATATTGCCCAACTTGCCTACGAGACGAGTAGCGGGCTGCACCTGATGGAGCATGATGTTTTTGCCAGGCAGCTATGGTTGAGCCAGCTAAATAGAATGTGTAAAAAGCCTGCCGATTCCGGTACACCCAAAGGTCATGTCTCCCCTGAGCCTGCTATTCAGTACTCTGCTAGACAGATGTGTCCCAAGTGGCCATGGGACATCTCGCAAGCTTTGTTTACATGGCAGGTCGACATTGACCTTAATTTACCCTTTCGAGCCACGTCCACCTTGACGGAGAACAACTTCCGCACCTTTCTACGCTTTTGCGCCTCCTTGCAGTGGCGTGTCGGGGATGGATTTGCTTGCTCAGTCTTCGAGTTGGCCGTTGTGGCATTTATACGTGGTTGGAGGTTTGAACTGCCTCATGGAACCATCTGCACACCTCAAGCCTTCGCCAGCTTGATTCGTTCGGGTTTTGCCTATTGCAAGCAGAAAAAGGTCGTGGTCGCGCCTCTGTTGCTTGACAAACGCAACAAGAGTAATGGCAAGACCTTTCCGAAGGGTGCTTTCCTCGGGGCTGAAGCGTATGTTGAGAATGCTGCATTGGACATGCTTGCACGTGCGTTTGCCAAAGGTGCCAAAGCAACACCTTGGTCTTGGAGTATCCCGTTTGACAACCTTTTGTAGTCTTGGCTACGAGTGACCCTAGCTGCGGAATGCGCTGGGGTTGCCACCGACTCGGAGTCGCGGCTTGAGATCAAAAAGGAAGCTCCCCCCGCCATCCTAAAGGCGACGGGGGGAGCTTCCTTGAAGAAGCGCTCGCACTATTCATTTGGTTCCTAGATTCTTTTGGAAACTTAACTATCTTAACTAGTTCCTCATCTCTGATGTCTGGCTTGGATTGGCTTGGCAGGTGCAAACGAGTCCCGCATCCCGCCTGTTTTTGTCATAAGCTGCTTTCAGTGCTGAATTGGAGAGGACATCATGGGCAGCGTTTATTTTGGCTCGATTCCGCTGATCTGCCTGCGATGAACTGGCAGATTGCAAACTCAAAAGCCTAGTTGCAGGATCTCCACAGGCAAAGCCTGCTGCTTGGATGTGAGCTTCGTCATGGCCTGGGTCTATCCAAGTGACTTAATGTTATATTTGGTCGCAAACAAAAACAAAACTTCAGTCGACATGTGACATGAGGTTTAGGCACGCTTGAAACCAGTGGTAATTTCAGCTGGTGTAGCATCAGCTGGGAGCCCGAGGGTCGAATAGTGGTCCTCCAAGCTCAAGGCAAAAGCAAAATGAGCACGACATCCGATACAGCAAATGTATAGCCTCTAGAATCTTCGTCTGGATGCTTTCTGCAATATCCTGAGTATGCACGATGTTGTCCAAATCGGTGTTGTCGTTCTGAGGCAGGGACTTTCAGTTGTGTGACCTCATGCAGGATCGCAATGACGACAACCTCGTAGCAGCAATGCCCATCCAACGACAACAACCACAGGTGCTCATACTCGGGCGCAAACACAGAGGGCAATGCCCAGCAGGGCCTTCTTTCGGGCACACCACAATTTCTGTACAGCAAGTCTTGATGTCCGCACCAACACGCAAAGCCAAGGCCTGCCGTTCAATTCGCGACAGGAACATCACCATCACATTCACATTGGCGAACGGCGAATCCAAGTATCCTGCAACCTGCTGCTTGCAAAGTTATACTATCTTTGAACTCTGAACTATTGACCATTGAGGCAACCTTTCTGCAGAAGTTTGTAGCCTTCTTTGAGCCTCAAACCTCAACCGCGGTTTCAATGCATCAGAACTCTGGGTCTTGAGACTTTCGAGGATGGAAAGTGCTCAAGAGTGGGCTCACGGTAACCACTTTGCTTTGCTCACAGTGATGCAAAGTGCCCAAAAACGTGCTACGGCGGCAGACACTTGTTTATTGAACTTTGCATTCTTCGCCCTCCTCAATTGCAAACTCCTTCACAGGTGCTGTTTCAGCTGGAGTCTCAGAATCCTTTGTTACAGGAGGCTGTGAGTTTTTTGGAGCTTTGCCAAAAATGCTATTCCCAGAACTTGGGATGAGCTCGTTTTTGTACGAGGCCAATTCCCACTTTGTCAGTATTCTGGCTTGTCCGCTCCACTGCAAACGATCCCAACTTGCTCTTGGACTACGGAGCAGGACTGCAAGACGAGGTGAGTTGTTCACCTTCAGAAACATTAAATGCACAACACAACAATTCCCGAAGAAAATCCACAACTGCATACTGGCATGTCAAGCGGAAAGTTGTTAGCATGGCTATTGGTAAATTCATGTACATTCGGTACAGCTTATGTATCAAACCTCGCTCTGTCACAATCCAGCTAAAGAACTATCTTAATGCAAGTCAACAACCGGTCCTGTATCAGGAAATGAACCCATATTCTTGTAGAGCGGTCTTGGTGCGAACACAGTAGGCTGAAAGTGTGAGAGATCCAAGTAGAACACTTCGATATCCGGTACTCAAGATCTTCCTTGTCATGACAAAAGGCCATCGACATCGGTTCTTTCCTTTGTTTGATGCTCAAGTGTTGCAGAGAACCTGAGCTTTGTTCTGCAGCTCCTCCAGCCATGGTGGGCTACATTTTCAGCCTGTCAGCTGCATCTCTCAGTGCTCAGTAGGTGGTCACGAAAACCTTGTGGTCCTTACTTTTTTCACCGCAAAAGTGCCATGCTCGGATTGGATAAGGGCTTCCCTGCCCCGGCCGCCAGCCGCCTCTGCATTTGCACTTTGATCTCTTTGGTGTCGTCGGGACCGTTCCTCTCTAATCTTGATTTCACTATACAGGCATTTGGCTGACGCTCTCCCGCAAGTTACCGGAGACCTTGGCAGCGGGCCAGATTTGTGGCTCAGTGGTTCAGGCCAGGAGGCAGGGCCTGAGTCTTGTTTCTTGCGAAATGGGCTTCGTGGGCTGTACCCCTCACGATTGCCGTCTGGCACTTGCTCTTTGATTTCGGAATTAATTTATGATACTGGACTTTTTGGGCTACCTCTCAAATTTGCTGCTGCAGATCGCCGTGTGGTAGCTGCATGGATTTTGTACGGTGCAGCCTGTTGACTTTCCCTTCTTTGCGGCCTGCAAACTGAAGTCCAGTGCTGGAGGGTTGGGATACTTTGCCATACCGATGGCAGTGATACAGCTGCGCCACCATTTTGCAAGTTGACTCTACTCAGCAGCCAAACGCTGGCGAAGGAAAAGGGAATTGCCGATTTGATTTGACAAGGGCCTTACTGCTTACACGCACCTGGAATGTACTTCAACCCATGGTCACTGCAGAGGAGTGTGGGTACAAGAATACACATCCGTGCAAGCAATCGACCACGTGCAATTACTGTGCTTACTCTAATGTGTGTGCGTATATATATATATATATATTTTGAATAATATGCAACGCTGTCGCAATACCCTTCCAACAATTTCGGGATCCATCATCATGGAACCAATTTCAAGCAGACTATTGGGAACCAGAAATGCCATCAACCGAACCATGGTTGGGAAACGGAGACCTTCACATCAAGCAAACATGAGAAACCTGAAACTTGGAAAGCTGAAAACTTGACGGTGCGGGCTTGAGACTCCAAGATTTCAGCTGTTAACAAAGAAAAGGAAAATGGTTCCTTTTGTCCTTTTTTTGTACTAGCGATGGCTGCCAACCTGGTAGCGATGGCCTCCAACCTCCTCCATGGCCTCCAACCTACTAGCAATGGATTCCAACCTACTAGCGATGGCCTCCAGTTCAAATCTGAAGCTTGGTAGCCGGCCCTCGCCAAGGACAACCTGAGTTGAAAGGTGTTGACAGTTGAGCATTTCCTCAGGTACGAGCATTTCCTCACGGCGGACATCAGAGCTTTCACCAATGCACGCCGATGCCACATTTCGCAAGCCTCGAGGTAGTCATTGTAGATCTTTGTATAGAGTAGCCCTTCCTTGCCATGTTCTGAGTCCTTGGCCATCAGGCCTATGCATCGCACTTCAGCTGCTACGAGAAAAGGTTTGCACGCTGCGGAGAGGCCTGTTGTTTTGGACAGCATGTGGATGGTCATGGAAGCATCCGTGGGGATCTTCGGTTCTTTAGAAGCTACGGAGTCAAAAACTGAAGCCGCGTCTATGACAAGCTCTGTTTGCAGGGGCATGTCACCTGTCTCAAACTTTTCTTCCAGCTCTTTTGCTGACATTGGACCTGTCAACAACTCTGCAAGCACCAACGAAATGTTGATAAGCAATCCCATTATGTCTAAAGCACTATACAGTTCTGCTGAGTAGGTCGAACGGCACACCCTTGACTGTTTCTTTGAGATGAACTCAATCACTTGGATGTTATTAGCGCCTCGGACAGGAAAGCTTTTGTCCACTAAGGCCACAATTCCGCTGCGCACGGCCAAATGGTCTTGGCCGGACACCGCGATGAGTTTCCACGGTCTTTCTAATCGCTTGAACTTCATGGTCAAGGGCTTGGACTTGACATATGCCAAGACCCGATTGAGGCTCAAGATGTCCTGAACGGTGGGACATTGAACGCAAGAACCGCAGCTTTGTCCGAGAATTTCAGCTTGTCTTCTGGAATCGGCCTCAATTCCGTTATGTAGTGCTGTTGGCTGATCGTGACAGATCCATCTGGCAGTCGATCGTGCTGGAGACCTAAATGCAAGAAGTTATCACGTTCTAACTTCACGGAATCGAACTGTGCTTCAAGCTTGTCAACAATGTCTTTCATGACTGATTCTTCGCCACACATCTTTATGTCATCAACATGTACACTGAGCATGGCCTGCAAGCGGCCACCCTTATGCAAGAAGTAAAGCTGTTGGTCAATTTGTGATGGAACCACGCCTATCCTAAGCAAAACACGTTTCAACGCTAGCGACCACAGCCTTGGTGCATCCTTAAGGCCGAAGCCTGGACGGAGCATAATGAGTACTTCGCTAGTTGCATCGAAATCATGGTAACCATCAATGGTTCTCAAAAGATGCTCACCACCTGGAGGAAGAGTGATCTCTACACTACGAAGCGCTTCTCCTTTCTCTGACAACTCCTCAAAGGTCAGGCCGCGGAGAAAGGCCTCGGAGATGTCTGCGGACCACAAGCTCCATTTCATCTGAACTGCAACTACGATTAACAATCGTTGACTCCATCTTGTGGATGTTCCTGCATACGTTTCAGTGCATTGTCTATCCAAAAACCCTTGAGCTACTAGCCGCGCTTTAACTTTACGAACCTTCTTACCAGTGCCTTCGGCTGCAATGTCTTTCCACTTAAGGACCCACTTACTTTTAAGAATATTAGTGGCTTTGGGCATTGGGCCTCTTTTCCAAGCACGATGTTTAATCCAACGCATGAGCTCCAACAACATGGCTTCACGACACTCTTCTAAACGCATTAGGGCTTCACTACGATCTAGGATTATTGGTTCGTTCGATGACTGCTGTCGGAGCCTGTCCACTGTCATAAGTAAAAATCACACTCTCATCTGCCTGTGTGACAGTATATGACAGAGACTCCGGCATGACAAAGCATCTTAGCATCAAACACGGCACCTCGAACTGTGGGCTTTCTTCAAGGAATGATGGATTAACCACCGCGTCAACTTCGACACCTGAGCTTTCTACATGAGGAGCGTTCACATTGAATACTGTGCTCGAGAAATATGTTCTACGGGTTGTGCATTCACTGTTGAAACGGTAGTGCTCCTCAGAATTCTCCTTGATGTTCGTTGTACTAAGATCCAAAGTTGAAGTCTGGACTTCACAAGGGCTCAGTCTTGACATGTGTGCGGTTTCCGAGGACTGTGATACAGAATCGTGCACCGACTCTGCTTTGGCAGACTTCGCAGGACGACTGCTGGGACTCTGAACTTCGGTTTGTACAGTGTCTTCGAGTGCACGTCTGTTCTGCAACTTAGTTACCTCATTAGTTTTATCTTTCGTTTGTGGCAAGTCTGGCTCACGAGAACCACCTAGATGCGGAATATCGGGGGCAACCTGACGAAGTGTCTCTACTTCTGTGGGATCTACCATCAAGAACTGTATGATGGACGAATGCTCGGAACCTGTGACCTTTGGAACATTCAAAACACGGTCTCCTGGGATGAAGCAATGGTACCATTGACCTATATCATGTTCATTCCACCACAAGAGCAGTGTGTCATCGAACGCTATTCCGGGAAGATTCACAACACCCGTGCCATATCGGAATCCAATGACTCCTTCAAGATGGAGACAACAGGCTGACACACAGAGACCGGCAGCAAGAACTGCGCTGTGCGTTTGATTGGCGTGGCACGGAATCCAGGTGGGTCCCTGCCGTATCCATCCAAGACGAAGGGCAACGCCAAACTGCGTTTCAACCTCTGCCTTCAAAAATTTGATGGGACCGGAGGGTTTCATCAATAACACAGTGTACATCAAAGCTCTTCTGCAATCTTGAACGCGAACCGCCAAAACACGGCCTTGCCACCTATAACATGCAACATGCCGTCAGACAAACTGGTCAGGTTTACTACTTCTGCTGGTCCGTGCCAACCCGAATGATCCTTAGTTACAGGTTTACGATAAAAATCAACCAAATCACCACATTTCAATTCGAGAAGTTCTCCGGCCCGACGAGTTTTGCTGTCATATGCAATCCTAGCTTTAGAATCACTAGTAGCTTGGATCATGCTACCGATTGCGATCTGTCGGATGCGAACAACTTCCCGATCCGATGGTGCTTCGCCCGATTCTTCTGAAACCGTTGTTAACAAAGGCGGGGTCCTACCAAACACTGCTTCGTACGGTGAGGCTCCACCACACTGAAACAGAGCATTTTTGGCAAATAAAGCCTCTGAAAGGATCATATCAAAGGTTGCCGGCAGGCCTTCTGCCGTTGTTTGATCTTCAATCAAGTGCAGCTGTCTGCGCAGAATTTCATTATGTCTTTCAATCATTCCGCAATGCTGCTCACGAGCGTGTAGGTGAAGTTGAATGCCTTTTGCGTCGAACCATCGGCCTGCTTCATCTCCCGTCAAACCACCTTCTTGATCTGACAGGACGTTGGATGGTGGGCCAAACAATCGAAGCCAAATGATACTGAACCCTTCAAGCAAGGACGTGGTGTGTCGGTCAGACAACACACATGCCGCAGACCATCGAGTGCAAACATCAATGCAATGCAGGATGACAAAAGCTTTAT